GCTGTGTGGACGGGCCGTCACTCCTGCGCTCTAATGTGTTTCGTATGTTGCTGATGCTATGGGTCTGCTTATCCCACAGATTGGACAGATACGGTCTTAGCTCTCGTCCCACAGTTAGCCACCTGCTCCGATAAGGGAGAAGCACGAAACAAGACGGGTGGAACCTTACACTGCTGATAGCATCTCGTCTGCAAATCTCTGGACACAGCAAAGTGTGGAAGATACTGGGGGACAACACAGTAAAGAACATGAAAAATCGGCTCAGCGAGAGGAAGAAAACAAGACCCTGGAATGGAATAGAACAGGACACACTGATACGAACATTCAGTATAGTGCATGCTGCTCTCCTCTCTCTTTACACTCTCCCTTGATACCATTCTCACACTGAGACGTACACAAAAATGTGCACATGCATACCAGCCCCCAACCTGCATCCACCATCTGGCCATCCTAAGGCTCAGATGTCTCTGGGGTAAGGTGAGCTGTAAGGGGGACTCTGTGTGTGTGTATATGCGTTATTTGTGCATGTGTGAGTGTGTGTCTGAGAGAGAGAGAGAGAAACAGAGAGATTGTGGAGCCAGTGATAATATCATCCAAGAGAGAAAATAGGAACTATACTGTATCCAGGAAAAAGGACCTGCACAGAATACAGATTGTTGCCACATTGCCTGCATTGCAAGCACAATATGATCACATAAAAGGCAGTACAACACATGTACAGCACTGCAGGTACATGTGCTGCAGGAAGGGTTTTCACTATAGGGTTTGTCATACCTGACTAAGCCGCGTAAGCACACCTTAACAACAAGTACTCTTTTCACGGTGGACAAAATAGAGCCTCTATTATGGGATGAGGCTATGTCTGCGGCCCCTGCCAGCCATAATGGCTTTAGCACTCTATGGACGACACAGGCACCCAAACGTACAATATACACACCCTGGTACAAAACGAGTGTAAAATTGAATTCTACTTCAGGTGGTCCCAGATCAGCAGTAGTGCCCTTGGCCAAAATACACTTGTACACTCATGTGAGCACTCACACACACACACCTATCCTTCATGCCTTTACTACTACTACCTCAACCCGTGGGCCTATGTTGCACTTATATGGTCATTCTTCTCTTTTCTAACCATTTGAAATGACAGAGCAGGGGAAAGGAGCAATCTTGCATTCACATCCATTAGAGACTCAACGGGACTCTTTTCACAGGCTGTCTCCCCTGCACAGCTGGTCGGCTCACCAGCACACACAACTCACATCATCGGGTAGTAGAGAATTCTTAACTCTAATACTACACTCGCTGTGCAAAGCCAGTCTATATTACTACCAGCTCAGTTTTCAACACTAGATTGAAGGCTGTGAAGCAATTACAAACCATTCCAGTCTGACCCGATACATGTTGGACCAACATGAGGACTTTTATATGACGATGGGACGTGCCCCTCAGAATAAACTATGTTTAACAAGGTGTCAAATATATAAAATGAAGCTTCATTTTTCAACTGCTGATTTTGGTAGATATTTCAGACATTTGTTAATGTCCCAATTCTTGTTTAGAAATGCAAAGCAACCATCAATAACAGCCTAGTGAGTGGTCCCTTTGTCCAATCAGGTGTATGAAGGTTTCATGGTAATATCTAAAGGGAAGCAGAGAACTGTGCACCCTATTTGAACTGACAGTTGTCTCATGCAAATGTCTCTTCAGGCTCGCCAAACCACAATATATGGATCAAGATGGTGGACTGGCATTATTCGTCTTAGCTCGGCAAGGCTACAACAAGTTAGTTGTAACTCAATTCCAGCTTACAGCTAGCCAGATTAGAACACATAATAACTATAATGTGAAGTGATTTTTGAATCCCGGGAGGCTGATTCTGAACTCTCCATGCTGGGGTCCGAGCAGTGGGTCGGTTAGATGTCAGAGACCCTGGAGCTAAGTCAATGCCTTGCTCAAGGACACTTCGGCAGGACAAACGCTTGCTCAGATGGGGGTTGGAACATGCACTTCAACACTCTGTCCTCTGACCTTACTAATCCATATGAAACACTCACGCCAACACTCCTGATTGATGTATATTAACAGCGTATGGTTCTGACCTCCATAACTATTATCTAATAATGCTTAAGCTATTGTTTATTCAGGAAGCTACAATATGCTCCATTTCATCCACTTGGCCCCCGAGGATGAAGAATTACAGGTACTTAACACAGCATCCTTAAGGACTGGTTACAGCAGACTAATGTTCTCTTATCAGACGTATACTTAATGCTGTTGCCGTTTTACCCCAGTGTAGAATGGCACAATTATACAGTGCATTTATCAATGTCGGATAACTGAGACAGTGTGGAGCTTCCAAAGCATCTTTCAGTTGCAGGTTACTCATTTGTAAAACACGTGTACGGTATCTTTTCTAAAACTAGCTGACCTCCCTCCATCTGTCTCTCTCATCTTCTTTATCTCTCCCGGTCCATGTCTATCTTTCAACCGCTGTTTCATCCCACTTCCTCCATTCCTCTTACCTCAACCACCCAGTTCCAAGCCGCTAAATGAGCGGGCTTATCTGAGTCTAATTGGTTTAAGGGCAAACAGAAATAAGCAATGGCTCTCTAAGTAGAGGAGAATTACTGCTGCTGTTGGCAGGAACCATCCGCACGCCAAAGAGGAAGCAAGCAAAAGAGGAGAAAAGGGAGACAAGAGAGGAATGGGGAGATTAGTGAGGAGAATTATGGAAGACAGAGTGGGATAGAGAAAGTGGGGAAAGGGAGGTGAAGAAGAAAGTAGGCAGAGAGAGGATGATGGGAGAAATGGAGAGAGAAGACAAATGAGGGTGAAACAGAGCATCGTACATGGTTCTTATTCTAATGGCATGCAAATCCCTGTCTTTCCTCTCCTCTCTGTTAGCCCTTTGCTTTAGGTTTGAATGCCCCTTCAATAACTTGTCAGTGACTGCATTTATGTTTGCAGATTGTATGCCTTCATGTGTGGGATGTTTTTCATTTGTGTGCACTGTGTGGCTCAGTTTAAATAATCCAAGTTATACAATAAACTGTTCACCCATCTATCCTTTCATCCTGCAGTTCATCAATGGTGTGTGTGGTGTTTACCGTGAGTGTAAGAAAGTCAGGTTGTTTTTCTGTTCATCACAAATGTGAATCCATATATGCTCCTTTCTCCAAAGTTATAAACACACACATGCACACACAGATCTCTGACATTATTGGCTGATTTAGACAAGTAATCAGATTAAAATTGACCGGAGAGGCAGGAATAATGTGGTCAATGGCTCTACTCCTTCTCAAACACACACACACACACACACACACATAAATAAATCAAAAAGCAACAGATTGGAGTTCAGATTAGTGAAGATTGTAACCTGCCCATGGGACAACCTATTTTCAATTAGCGACCAAAACAAGGAAATCACTGTTATCCTTGTTACCGAGGTAACTTCGGGGCCATCTCCCAGCCCATCTGTTACTTTCTGATCTCATATTTTGGAGGACAGATCTCACACCCATTTCCTAGCAGGGAAATACCACTCCCTTTCGTCCCTCACATTGTGATTGGACTTTCTGCTGTCATTTCACACTGGATAAACATTTTAACTTTCAAATATGTATCCCTTACGGAGGTAGCAATTCGGGCCTAAGTTTCCATAGTGGTGTTGAAATCTGATGAGCACAAAAAAGAAAACCACCGCCGAATTACAGAGCACAGCCTGAGCAGGGAGCAGCAGGAGCAGAGTTGTAAATGATTAAAGAGAAAAGCTGCATGTGAAAAAACTCATTGTATGTGTGCTTCTAATTTACTTATTTATGCTATTGGGAGGGGACAGAGACCGCCATGGGAAGCTGGTGTGTTGTTCTATTGGAAAGGATGAGCTACTGTAAAATAAAATGAGAGAAGAAACTATATATATATATATATATATATCCATGATGCTGCCGGGATATCCATCCATCAGCCAGTGTTTGAGGCTACAAACCCAGTGTTCGGTCCCCAGGGTCCAACAGCGGAAATGAAAAACATGTTTAACTGAGGAGATATAGCTACTAGTGACACAGCCGCTTGTCCATATGAACGTGCGTAAAAAGGAAAAGAGGAAAGAGATGCAGAAAGACAAAGAAAGAGAGAGGCAGAAAGGGAGATGGATAGAGACAAAAAGATACAGGGACAGTGAGAAAATGGGAGAGGCAGCTGAGCATTTGTTGTTGATGTTTTTTTAATAAAGCGGTTGATTTCAAAAATTCAAATTGAAAATGTACGCTTGCATACAATCCAGGTTAAAGGAAGACTTTCAATCAGTGCAATCCACAATCTAAGAGTGTGCCCAGCAATTCAAAATGCCACAGAATGGTGCTCAAGGGCTTTTAAAACCAGTATTTGATGTGTTAAATCCTATATACAGTCTATGGTTAAATCTAATGAAAAAACGTGACAGGAATCCTTGGAGGTTTGACAGGCATTAACATTGCCTCGTTTCCTACTGAGAAAAACTCATTGTTAAGGGATGATGAAAATCTAATATAACAATGTATAGAGGGCACTCAGCCTACTATATAGAAAGACTTGAGAGTAAGACTAAAGTGTGTTCTTCTTTTTTCGTTATTATTTAACGCTTTGGAAATATTTTCGTCGTAACATTCATGTCATAAAAAGCTTATTAAACTGAATTGCACAGAGTGAGGACAACAGATGTAAGCGCATTCACTGCCACTAACAAACTAACGTATGCGATTAAATACATTTAAAGTATAGTTATTCACATGGACAAGTAACATCAGTGAAAACCAGCGGAGCGGCAGGACGGCTGCTCCGACATAAAGGGATAACCAGGGCAATCTGCGGCGATCCACGTGTATGACATCCCTGTATCCCTATGCCTGAGGCACAGCGCTGCCCACCAGAAACCGCTGCGAGCATCCCCAACACAGCGCGTCTTGGGAAGAAGCATTTCAGATCTACAACAAGTTTAATCCCAATTTCTTATTTACCTTCCATCGCAGAGGATGTGATGACCAGCACGCATAAAAGCGCATACAAATCCACTGTCATGGCAGAAGGGTAGTCTCCACAGCCTTTCCCCAAATTACCAAGACGCACGGTGCGCGTCAAAAGAATCCCTCAGTTGTCAGAGCGGTACTCCAGCAGATAGCCCGTGTTGTGAGTCACATTTCAAGCCGTAGTAAACAATGTGTGACAACCAGCGACGGGGAAGGACGGAGTGTAGGGGCTGAGGGGTGCGAGGAGCAGGGGGAGGAAGAGGAGGTGGGGGACACCCAACATTGCATGCTCAAATCCCCATTAGAGCGCGGGAGCCAATCACCGATTGGGAGCTGAACTCACTAACCAATAAAGAGACCGCCGCTCCGCCCCCTCGCATTGTGAAAACACCATAGACTGTATAGGAAAACACAAAACTTTTCCTTGACCTATATGAAACGGCGTCCGCTTCACTGAAGGGAAATATCGCCCCCACGTGGTTAACTGCAACTACTGCATCTCAGGCACATACAGAGCCAAGCCTGCCGCCACACGAGACCTTCTAAACGGCTGTACACTAGTTCAGTGGTCTGTCACCTCTGGATACAAAATAATTCAGTTTGAACAATTGGTAAGAGTCCCAAATGACCTACTCACTTCCCAGAAAAGTGTGTTTATACATTAATGATATCCTGAGTTCTGACAATTATGTTTTTATCAAATAAAATCACAAGGATATTTTGCAAAATAAAGTCTCCCTAAAGTCACTGGAGCTTGGTATTTTACCCCATTTTGTATTACTAAATGAATATGTTTTGGCCGCCTCCCCAATGTCTGAAGTAGCCACTCTGGTTCATTCGCCCCCCCATTATGTTCACACAAATGCTAGTCTCATTTGCAATGAGAATATTCCTTAAAAGCTTTAGCAAATCAACTGCATCTTCTAATGGCACATCAGCTCCCTCCCCATACCTCTGTCCCCCCTTTTGTGTGTGCGTGTGCTGCAACAGATGCTACACACAATGGGCTTTTTCCCACAGGGACACAGAGGAGCGAGGTCTTCCTCAGCAGAAGGGGGCAGTTTCCGCCCTGTGGCCCAGAACCATACACCTGTCTTGGGCTGATATGTCCCCAAAGGTCCCTGGAGCTAAAGAATTGGGGTGGTGTTGTTAATCTACAACCTAAGTGGGCCTGTTATGCCCGGGGCCACTGGATGGCCTAATACTTCAGTTATGTCCCTTCACAGTATACTTGCCCAAATACTTTTTACCTTCTTTACTTTTAAGGACTTAATGAATGGGGAAAAAAGTATGGCTTTTCATATAATATGTAGTGTATAAAATTAAAGCATATATCCTTTTTTACACTGTTAGAAAACATTAAAGGACAAACACTGTTTTTCCAAAACAAGCCTGGACTGTTTTCACTGCATCCATCTTTTGTGCCCCTTTGGCAATTCAACTCCCAACCTTAACAATAGCAAAAACACCAAACACATTGTAAATGAAAAGTGACTCACAGTTAAAATTGTTCCAACTGTGGCAAAGACCAGCAGATGAACTGGGGCATACGCAGGGCTTCAGGAGCATAAGGCAGCAGTTGCTATCTTGGGAAATCAGTTGATGAGAGCATTTGTCATTTTTAATGGTGTGGTGAGGAGTGGCACTTTAGTGTGACATGGCACAGCACAGCATGGCCCCCAGTGCTGGCTGCTACGCGGCCCGTGATAACCACCTGGCCTTATTTTTCAGCAGGCCAGTCAGCATCACCTATGGTCTCACAGGTCATCTCCAAATACAGGAGCAGCGGAAAATAATCTGTCCCTGTTCGCTGTCCACACCCAGGGGGGAAGGAAGGAAGGAAGGAAGGAAGGAAGAGTATGAGGGGAGTAGGGAACAATGGTGCTGCTGCTGTAGCACATCCTCCCTTACAATGCACACACAGACAAACGCATGAATACAATAACACAAATGTGCGTGCAGTTGCTCACCCATACAGCACTCAGATAATGATCAACACAGAACCACACAAGCACTTGCCTACTTCAGCTCAAGAGCCTCAGCCCAATACCAATACTGAGCCCAAACACATTGTAGAGAGCCTCTCATCCTGTGGCCTGATTTATTCTGTGTGGTTAAGCCTGCATGTGCAGCATCCCAGTTCTATTATTCTTCATTCCTCCATTTCTCTGTTCAAGGCCAGATTCAAAAGGCAACCTATCAAGTCGGGATATTCTCAGACTTTAGTGTGATTAAATGTTTTTCCATTCTCTGCATTATGTGAGCTGACCCTTAAGTTATTGCGCTTTTGACCTGTAAACATCCTACCGCTATCTACCCCGGCATGACCAATGTGCCATGACCTTTACATTCCTCCTCTCTGTGTTCTGTTTCCTGATTCCCGTTACTGGAAAAAAATTATTGTACTGTTTTTCAGTGGAGTCAGGGCAATCATACAAAACAGCACAGAGAACAGAGAATACCTCATGGACAGAAGCAGACCTTTTAGGATGAAAAGGCAAGTGTTTTTTTTATGAAAACAGTAAGGTTAACTCTGACACACAATCATTATTTAGATACAGCAGTGGAAATGAAATATATTTGGGGAGAGAAGATTTACACAGCAAAACAGCTAAAATATTATAATGGTCCGGAATGAGAAATGCAAAAACTGACATACATGGAAAGGTGTGAGAGATGTTACCCAGAGACCACAGCAGCTGGAAAGGTTCGTCTGGTGATGAATATAAATGCATGAAAATGAAATGCCTAAGTCAATATAGAGACAGTGCAGGGACCCAGGTGACAGAGGAGTGCAGTGCTACACCCACCCTGGGGGGCTGGACTGGTTATTAGGCTGGGCTTTAGCTCCATCCATCTTCAGGAGTCTGGGAGCTGGCCATTGACAATATGAGTGCAGAGCCAGGGCTGAATACAGATGTGCTCTGGACCAGTGTTCCCCAAATAGAGGGTCAGGACTATCTAGTGTCCCAGCCATGTTGTACTTTCTGGGTCACAGCTCAAGAGGGGCAATGGAAAATAGGTTTGTTGTAGGGGATGCGCGAGGTTGGTTAAGTTTGTTTTACTATGTTTAAACAGCAAACTCCAAAGACAATTATCCTCAGTGAGCTAAATATGTAGCTTTGGCTATGTCTCGCCAGCTGCATTCAATCAGACATCTATGAAAAGTTTGAAGGTTAGTGTTGTGCTTGCAATAAAAACTCACATAAGAAACAAGCGTAGAACAACTCTCTGACAGTAGGTCAGCCAGGGAGACAGGGCAGCTAAATACAGCTCTCTCATTAATCTGCCAATGATGCCAAGACTGATGGTACCTGTCCCCTGCTATCAGCACACAGACACTTCAGAGACATTCATTGCACTTCTCTGACACAGAGTGGCACACAGAAAGGACAGAAACAGGCACACAAACCCACTGCTGACATGAAAAAAGAAAAAATAGATTTAATAAATGTTTACGCTTTTGTGTGGGGAAGCAAGAGAGAAAGAAAAAGAGGGATTACGCTCCGTGTCTCCTTGCCGAGATGAAGCGGAAGCATTATTTGCTTTAAGTATTTGCAGTTTGATTAATAAGTCGTTAGCTCACGTTCATTTATATTCAAGATTCAAGCTCTTTACTTCAACATTAATCACAACAACAGAATGAGGAGATTCTGCTCAGCATTGAATGAGTAAGAGCATCATTAGAGCTCGTCAAGTGTGAGCGCGAGTGTGTATGAGAGAGACAGAGATTGACTGTGAGTTCAGGCCATGTTCCTACTTGTATTCACTATTGTTCAGGTGTGTGTGTGTGTGTGTGTGTGTGTGTGTGTGTGTGTGTGTGTGTGTGTGTGTGTGTGTGGTGTGTGTGTGTGTGTGTGTGTGTGGGTGTGTGTGTGTGTGTGTGTGTGTGTGTGTGTGTGTGTGTGTGTGTGTGTGTGTGTGTGTGTGTGTGTGTGTGTGTGTGTGTGTGTGTGTGTGTGTGTGTGTGTGTGTGTGTGTGTGTGTGTGTGTGCATGGTTTCAAACGTAAAGAGGGGCATGTGGTGTGGGTGACACAAACCCAGAATGATGGATAATAGATTGGTGCCTCCCCCTCCTCAGTCACTCTGCTCTGTCAGCTGCCATAGGGTTTTCTGTCGTAGACAATGTTCTGACAGCAAGCACCAAATCCATCTCTCAAAAGGTGCCACCAGTCCAAAAAACTGTGGATGACACACAAAATCATGCAAATCCAACATCAATCAAAATCATGCACAGCCTCTATAGCAATTTACTGATTAATTATTTTTCTTCTTGATGGCCATAGTTATTAGGATGCATTCATTTTTTCGTGATTGGAGGTCTTTAATCACAGAAGAGGTTAATGGGGTTCTCATTCATGTCCTTGTTTACTCGCAGCGTTTAAGAAAGTGTCCTATTAACCGTGTGGCCTTAGCCCTCTCCGGTGTGATACATTTTTCAATTTATGCACCAACCGTTCACCACCTCCTTCATAAGAGGTGCCTTGACAACAACAACATTTGACACATGGTAAATTGTTTTTTTGTCTCCCTGAACATGTTATGTCGACTGGAGAGGCTCAAAATTGAGTTTTCTGGCTACACAAAGCGACATTTAGGAGGTGGACTTGTTAATGAGAAAAAACAAAACTAGCCTGACAGCTCATCACTATATGTCAGCTCCATGTGACAGCCTATCCCACTCATTCCTCTTCTAGTTGTTTGTTTCACAGGGACACCATCAAAATGCATCCCTCTGTCTCCTCAGACCTGTCTTTTTCTCCCTTCCTCTGGCCTGTGACAGATAGTTGGGTACAATCTATCAACTTCAGTCTGCCTCAGTCATGGCCATTGCTTTGTGGAGCCACGTATGGACAGAACAGCACACATACCTAAATCCGTCACACTAACTGGGATAATCATCTGGCAGTGGAGAGGGAGAGAAAAACCGAGGTCAAATCAATCTGCCCTCTGTCTGCCATACACTGATCCCCTGTCATAGGGTGACCTCTGCAAAACCCAGCAAATGAAACTCCAGTGCTGCATTTGAATACAAAGAGTGCATCCCTTAGTCTGGCTTCAGCATAGTGGATGAGAGCACTGACTAACAGATGAACTCACTGGTGGACTCAAATGTTCCTTCACATGAACATTTCAAATTTCTCTTTTTTTTAATGGTAGACCCTCTAGTTAACAGTGTAGTGATACCTAAAAAACATACATTTTATCGAAAAACGTTTGACCTTTTGTTAATAAAGTAATAAAACGCAATGTATA